GTTTACCTCATTAAAATGTATTAGAAATGTTTGCTCGTCTTGAGAAACACTCGCCAACCAAGTTACTCGCAATCCAAGGTTTTACTGTATATTATATATGCAACGGAATATTATTCAGCCTTTTAAAAGGAAGGAAATTCTGATACATGCTAACAACATGGATGAATTTTGAAGTCATTATAAGTGAAATAAGCCCATTACAACAGGACAAATACTGCATGATTCCATTTGTCTGAGGTCTCTAGAAACAGAGAGTAGAATGGTGGTTGCCAGGGGCTGGAGGAGGAGGGAATGGGAGTTATTGTTTAATGGGTACAGAATTTCAGTTTTACAAGATGAAAAGAGTTCTGGAGATGGATGGTGGCAATAGTTGCACAATAATGCGAATGTACTTAATGCCACTGGACTATACACTTTAAAAGGTAAAGATGGTAAATTATATGTTATGTATATTTTATCATTATTTTTAAAACTAAATGATAATATTTTTAAACTTACCATCATTGGAAAGACAATTGCGGCTGGAGATGCCTTGATGACCCAGAGCAGGACAAGGCAGGTCAGCTGGATGAGGGTGAAGAGATGCACTTTGCGCAGCGGCACATGTCGAAGGTAGATGAAATCTGGCTGGTGCTTCGCAGGCATCCCAAAGAGCTTCAGACGATCGAAGAACTGAAAGGAGGGGACTGGCATTGGTTTTCAGAAGGTTTCTCTGGGCCAGAAGCCTTGTTAGGCCCATTAATGTCTATTACCTCCCCTGCTCTGAAAGGTAGGTAATACCATTTCCATGGGACAAAATGGAAACTGAGTCTCAGAGAGCGCGTCGTTTGGCCACAGTTGGTAAGTGACAGAGTCAAAATTCAAATCCATCTTTTTAAATTCTAGGTTCAAATTTCTTTTTCTTACCCCACAGTGTGGCTCCTGAGAATGCTCTTTCTCAAGGACTGTTGAAAACAAAATGAGGCCATTGCATCTTTCTCTTTATTATCAAAACTAAACCTCTTCCTGGGTTATTGGAGGAGTTTGAAGATTCTCATTATTAGTTATAGTAAAAACATAAAATAAAACCTCATAACATTCTGGATATAGAAAATATGACCATCTTTATACTATAAAATGGAAAACAGAGACCCAGAAAGATTAAATAACCTGCCCAAAGTCACATTAGAACTCAGTGTATCAGAACAACCACTGGACATTCTATAAAAACAAAGAGGAACCAGCCACCAACAGAAGTAGCTAAGTCATCACATCCTCTGGGGTACCCAAATACTCAGTGACAAGCTCCTGAGTTTCTCTGTTCAAAGGACTCAGGGGGACGAGCTGATAGATGGGGAAAGGCAGAAAGTAGTATCTGCTCACCCGGAGCAGCTCCCACTACCCCCCAATTTCTTCACCAGTGTACCCTCAGTTAAACCCTCTCTCTTACACTTTAGCCTGGCACTAAAACTAACACTGTCCATGTGTGGAAGCCAGTTTGGTATCAGTATTGACCGACCTTTCATATCTAAGTTTACCAGCACCTGACAAAGCACCTGGTGTTTAATGTGTGCCTAATAATTGCCTGTTGAATAATTAACAACTGACTGGAACCATGACATCAAGCCAGGCTATCCTGTAAGTCTCTGTACCCTCATGCCAACATGACAGTATTTTGACCAATGTCCAAAGAAATGTTTAAAATAGCTTAACCAGCGAGGCTAGGAAATGGTTTCTCAAGAACTGGTTTGTGCTTCTCTAGGGAGCTGTCCCCCTTTTCAGGACAGGTGAGCTCACAATGAGAAGACACCACCCTGGCTGAGCCACACGTTACCTGAATTCCCTGGAGTGAAGAGACTCCCATGTAGAGGAAGACTCCGTAGAGTACCGGCATGGGGATGAACTGAAGACAAAGGGCAGAAAGACCAGAGATTGCACTTGGTATCAGCACACTCGAGACTACATCAATTTTTAAATTTCCAAGAAGGAAGCAAAGTCACAAAACCACTGCATAAACATTGCATTAGTTTCTGCTGCCTTTACATGATTTAGAAGTAGACGCAAACCCAGAAGCTGACAGTGATAAAAATAATTTTGTTCTGAAGTGAAATGA